TTGGGGCTGGGTAGCTAAGGCCAGGTGGCGTTAGCCAAGTTCAAGCAAAGAAGGTTCTCAGTGTGTCAGTTAATTAACATAATATTCAATTAAAAAAAGCTGACTGGCGTAACTAAAAAAGCATAAAAAAGCTGACATAGCCTTAAAAGGAACGAATGATGTATTTCACCCAGATGTAGCCAGCACACGCTCGTCACTGCTGGGTTACCAGCTTCACCCCCCACCTCCACCAACCCCACCCCCACACCTTCGCCCCTCTCATGTGCCGCACTGCCATTTCAGAGTGACACACACACACACACACACACACACACACACACACACACACACACACACACACACACACACACACACACACACACACACACACACACACACACACACACACACACACACACACACACACACACACACACACACACACACACACATCAATATATTTCGATCTCGGTTTATATCCTCTCCACACCTTTCTGCGTCATTTACTAACTTAAACGAATTTGTTACCCCACAACATTCCTTTATGCATCTTTCATATTTCAGTATTCATTCTTTTTTATATACTATATTTCCTCGGCTTGTTAAAGCTTTACTTCACCTTTATATCGTCGCTACTATTAACTAATTCCAGGGAAGCAGCTTTGTCCCGGCCATACCTGCTTTCCCACACCTGTTCTCTTTTTAGTACGACTTTAACAGCACACTCGCACCGGTAAACATCTTGAAAGCATTCCCAGTATTCTTCCTTCCCGGGTATAATAAAATAAAGGGTTGGCAAGAGTCGGCCCTGGCAACACTGTCTTGGGGGGGGGGATGGAAGTGTACGCTTTCATTTATGGTTAGTTTTAGGGAGGGGGGGGCTTTATCCACAACACAACCCGCATGATGGCTACTACCTACTCCACACTAAGACAATGATTTATTTTTATTATTTTTATTGCTTTATTCACATTTTGATTTATATGTTCTTATATTTAGCTATTACTGATCATGTTGTCATTCAAACTTCATTTCTGTTACGGTTGCATCAGCTATTAAATTATTTCTTAATTCTCTCATGTAATCTATTAGGGAGTCCGTTAATTTTGAGGTTAAAACACAACCCATTTTTATTTTTTTAGAGCTTATTAAAGAAATAAAATAGTTAGAGTTTCTAGGCAAAATAACTGAAAAAAAGACTCCGATTGTTTGTTTGTGTTTACTAAATCCTTCTGATATTCTTCCCTCCTCACCTCTCCTCCTTGCCCCGTATATACTACACCGATACATAAATAAACATTCCAACCCACAGTGAGGCTACAACAAAGTCAAAGCCAATAATACTCTATATAGTGGCTTATTCAGCACGTTGAGCTCTAATGATGCATGATAATGATCACACCACACTCGAATGAATCGAAAATTATCTGTTATCTGCCATCTTTTATGTGTTTATTGTTTTCAACTGTTTTACCCCTCATCCTCACTCTACCTGTATAAGTCCCCTATGGTCACCTTTCATCACTCTTCCTATGTGAGCCCCCCTTACTGCCTGTCTTCCATCTACCTGTATGAGTCCCCTTGCTCACCACCTATCTTCACTCTGCCTGCAAGAGCCTCCCATGGTAACCTGTCTCACTCTGCTTGTATGAGTCCCCATGGTCGCCTGTTCGTGCAGGAAATATCGTAAAGACAAAATAAACCCAACCTAACCCAAACGACGAAACACGCGAACTGGAACTCCTTCTCCATGATTAAAAAATAAATAAAAATTCTAAATAAATAAGAATCTTTACAACACATAATTCCTAACCAAGCAGCAGGCTCATACATATATTCGCCACCACAACAAGTCTTACTGTAATATAAATTCAACGAAGCTTCTTGCCCAGGTGGTTCACAACATGAATTTTGAAAAAGATGACTCAAGGTTTTAAAGGAGATCCAACTTGGAGTGAGAGCCTCTATAGTTACCAATTTTGTGTAATTTTTATGGCTTAAATAATGCAACGATAACCTTTGTGTATCGTGTATATATATATATATATATATATACTGTATATATATATATATATATATATATATATATATATATATATATATATATATATATATATATATATATACACGATACACAAAGGTTATCGTTGCATTATTTAAGCCATAAAAAATACACAAAATTGGTAACTATAAAATATTTGGCTATCAACGGTGGCAGGGAGGTTTGGTTACGGACGTGACGACACGTGTAGCTGAAATCTAACACTCGACCCGAACTTTTTTCATTCACAACTGATGTTTTCCTAAAAATTATATATAATTTCATATGGAATTACATTTTTTAAGTGGAATATCTCGATGTATGTCTTAACAAAATAAATAGCGCGGTTGTAACACTTTAATTTCAGAGGCAAAATTTTAAACAATGTAACTCACAGCTACAGACTGGCAGATGACAATGCCACCAAATTATGCCTTTAAAAACCTATGGGTATACTGTGTCACGCTAGGTGCTCTCATTTTCTGCTCTATCCTTTTCCAGCAACACACTCATTCCTTCACTTCTACCCGTGGGTTAAGGCAGTCATATTCTAAGAAATAACTGTCTCTGGAAAGAAAGTAACTTGCCTACTTTCGAGATTGAAACAAACCTTCAAAAGACTGCACATAACTGAGCAATAAATTAACCCCAGATACTCTTGCAGCGACTTAAGTTAACCTTGTAAATGAATTAATTATATATTTTGTCATTTTCTTAACCACAGATTAGTTTTATTCTTTGTGATGATGACAAAGAGATGAACTTTGATTTTATTGTCGCATCTCTTAATTGCACCAATGAATAATGCAACTGTTCACCTTATATATATATATATATATATATATATATATATATATATATATATATATATATATATATATATATATATATATATATATATATATATATATATATATATATATATATATATATATATATATATATATATATATATATATATATATATATATCATTGACAATAAAACAAAAAAAAAGTCCGTCTGCCACAGTCCAATGTGGCTTTATCAACTTTGCATGACTAGATCACAGCAAAACATTTCTTTTGTATTTTTGTAATACATTTATTTGTTACACTAATGTATTCATACATTTGTTTATTGTCTTATTATCTATATATCTATCATCATTATAAATTTTTTAAGCAAGACACTTGCCTCTTTCTCGTTAAACTGTCATTTAACATAGGTTTCAATGAGAGGGTTAGACGAGGTAGTTAAATAACAGGGTTAAACGAAACACGGTTTAATGACAGGGTTAAACGAGTGTTAAATGACAGAGTTAAATGAGAGAGTAAAATGACAGGGTTAAACGAGACAGAGTTAAACGTCAGAGTTAAATGACAGGGTACGGGTAAACATCCCACCTACAACACCACTACTGAAAATTGCCCCGTTTCTATCTTTGTTATTTACGATGACAGTAAATGACTTTGCGTGTGTGTGTGTGTGTGTGTGTGTGTGTGTTTGGTCGCATGACTTTTCACACTAACATCCTCTGACATATAATAAGAAAATTGGCCCTCCGTTATGGACATACTGTTTTCATATAAATTTTATACCCGTGAAGTATGAGGGGCTGGTGCTGCTTTCCGGTTATACTTCACAATTATTATTTTCTACTTCGTTGTATTTTCAGACTTTCTCCCTAGTTGTCATACACGACGAAGTGTTGTCTAAAATTACTGAAAAAAATATAAGTAATATTTATTTAATGCATTTACGATGCGGTTCAGGGTGTTTTTAAAGGACAATTTCAGATGAACCATTCATTTATGAGCTACAGGTCAACATGAAATCCTCACTGCATAAATACCCTCAGGCAAGGCTTGTCTTTATTTAAAGTGAATAAAAATTATCAACGAACAACACAATTATTTATTTATTGTAGTTGTTCCACGTGACGATCAAAATAATTTCATCAAAAGTAATTTCTACCATCAAACGGAAAAGAACAACTAGAACACTGCAAAATCAAACCACCATGAATGTTTAGCGGCAACACACACTACCTTCAGTCTATTCAGAATTAAATCACAGATTCGAGATCAATTTGAGGACGAGTGAGGCTAAACTTCCCACGTTGCGAACCCCATTGTTCATAACAGAATATAAGTGCTGTCACCTCAAGTCTCGCCTTGACACTGAACCGAAAGAGCTACTCCTGGCCCTACTTAAACAGCTCTAGTAAAATTACCCTCGTATGAATCTGCCGTTTTCACTTTGAAAATGGTACTTTACTTTTTCGTAACCATAATGGATTTTTTATGGTGGTCAGTAAGTGGGGTCGACAGGCTAGAATTTTGCTTTGCAGTTGAAACCATTATTTCATGCAATGTGGTTCATACTTCCCTTCCTAAACACAACAAACATATCGTATTATTTCATACCAGATTGAATTAAACGTACTGTAGTACAAGCTTAAGTTAATGTTGCTCAAAAATGTTCATTCAATATTCGCTAAATAGTATTTTCCTTTGCACGTGGAAAGGATTATAAGTCTCCATGTTTCGGTAATCGAAATTTGGGAGTTTTTGAGGAACTTCAATATAAAACTAACTCTAATCGGTAGCTGCGGCTTTGGACAGGCAATCTGACAAAGACTTCAAGTCTTTACCACAAATTCATTTTAATTTTACAACTTGCCTTGCATATCAGCAAACATAACTTTTAGACCGTAGTATCATGTCTTCTAATACAACCAACTCTTCATGCTCACACACATTCACACATTTGTACTGATAAATTTGTATAGTGAAGAGTATTTTCACACACAATACTACTACTACACACATACACAATATATATATATATATATATATATATATATATATATATATATATATATATATATATATATATATATATATATATATATATATATATATATATATATATATATATATATATATATATATATAAAACTCCCGAGATTTTCATAATATTTTTTCCATGTCCACCAGATTACCGAAAGTGCTTCTACGGAGAGTTCACTTGTGCCAACGGGGAGTGTATCCGCCCTGGCTTGGTGTGTGACGGCATCCTCGACTGCATTGACGGCACCGACGAGACTCAGTGCCAACCAGGTCAGTGAGCTGTGCCAAGGGTTACCACGCCAGTATGGTAGATGCCATGTTAGTGGGTGGAGGTAAAGGGTACAACATAAATAGGCGGTATAGGAAGGCGAGATCAATACCGCAGTATATAAAGACACGTCGGGGAAATGAGGAAATTCGAAACGCGGTGATAAAATTTATAACTAAATCCAAAGACATAGGTGTCTTCGGTGACAATAATGTAAAATCGGAAATGAGATAATCACGAAGTCATAGTGGTATTGGCAGCTATACAGAGAGATAAATATTTGTAAGGGGAAAAGTTCCTAGGTGCAATTTTTTTTTATACAAAAATATACTGTTCATGAGGTGCAGTAGCAGAGTGGTTAGTGTTCGTCTATTTTCTAACGTGTCACTGGCTTGCATTCCAGGGCACACATAATTCACGCAACTGTCAATTAGGTACCTAACATTACAACTGGAGGGAGTGAAGGAGGTTGAGTGCACTGCCGGCCATATTCCGGTGTGGAGGATCAGCAAGGGAAACTATAATGGCTACTATGGCGCAAAAAATAACTTTTCTTCCCTACACAGAGGCTGTGTTGTGGTGAAGGTCCCAGGTCAGCAGAATGTGTTGGGGTCGTCATGCTCGGGTATACTCAGCGCGCCACTGGCTCCAGTATTGACTATGTATATATATATGGATGATCAATGTAACGAGCATACAGGAAATGTTGCATGCAGGAAAAGCGTTGGATGTGCTGGAGCCCATCATACTACACAGTGTTGGTGCATATACTTGAGTGTATGTCGGACACAGCTGCGGAAATGCAGTGTGATTGTTGGTTGCACACAATTGAGCTGCCATGTTCCTTCTTCGACGCTAAGAGTTGACTGGCTGAGATCTCCTAAAATATATATTTTATACATCATCCCAGGTTGAACGGCATAGACAATTTATGGACAATGTGCACTGTCTAATGACAACATCAATTTGTGGCCTGAAATTGTTACAGCGATACTTTAGCTGCAACACATCGTCAAATTCAATATGATTAACTGGTATGTTGAGGTTCTGCACGATACCTCGAGTTGACGGAACCGGATATCACCGACGACAGTACTACCCACCTAACTTCAGTAATGTAGATGTAGAATGTTACATGCACAAAACAGTAGAAGGGCTTAATATGCGTTGCGAAAGTGGAACCAAAAATATTGCAATGAATGTGGTACATTTACTGGCTGAATGGCACAGACGAAGAAGTATAAATAAAAATACAGTATTCTAGTATGAACACTATTGGGTCATAAAGGTGTTACGATGGAGATGGTCCTATCGAAGATAACTTGTGAATGCATTAGGGTGTAGCACTTTGATGACCTGGAAAGTGTACGTTGTTTATTGTGGCATATAAACTGTGATATTACTGTACATTTTATACCACATTATTTTTAGCATTATGATAAGTATTGCATTATCACTGCCTCTATCAACATCGCGCTGAGCTGGGCACCCCCGCTCACAGTTTTACGTTAGAGTGTCACATATAAACCAATCACGGGTAGGTAAAGATACGAGTCTGGCATAAATTTATTAATCCGTTACAGGTGACGACCAAACCTGGTCGCTTCTAATGTGTCCTTTACATTAACCTTCCAAGTAAAAGAGAAAATCGGAGGAAACAGAAATAATGCACTGGCAATTAATTTGTAGGGTGAGTAGGAAACAGAGACAAAAATACAAGTACAAGGAGATATAAGTGGAGGAAGTGTCAAACAAAGAGTAGATCAGGGTCTGTTTAGATGGTATGGACATAGTGAAAGAATGAAAAGTGAAATGATTTTAAGAAATGTGTGTATGACAGAGGAGTTGAACGATTCATGGAAGAGTGCAGAACCAGAAGGGGATGGAAGGATGGGATGAAGAACAGTAGAAGTGAAAGGTAATGGCATCCAAGAGGCAGCAATGTGCGTGAATAACTAGAGACTATGAGGTGAAGTTTTAGGGGATTGGAGATTTGACATGCAACTGAGGGAAATGACGATAAAAAAATAATATGAGGACGGTGGAAGACCATAGCCACATGCAGTCAGAGAGAATTCTCCATTTTGATTGTACGCTTCTGTTCTCTTCTTCCAGGTTCCTAAGCCTAACGTCGTGGCGCATATTTACATACACTTAACCTCTTATCATTGAAGCTGGAACTCGTCGGGTCACTAATGGAGAAACGGACGGGATACTACGTAGCTACTGAATATATCTATAAGCTCACAGATAGCTTGTTTGTCTCCCACTTAAAAGGTCAATACCCCATAGTTTGGGAGTAATACCACAAAACTAGGTAGGGGAGGACTGCAACAAGTCTATGGTCATAAAACAAAATAATACCTTTGCGACATTTTATTCATATTTCGTAGATATTATCACATTCCAACCACAACTGTCATGTGTTTATAACTCCGAAACTATGGGGAATTGACACTATGGCCATGAAGACAGCCATATGTATGTCTCAAGAGTACATTACAGGCGTTGCCTGTAACCTATTCTTACAGTAAGATAGATTACATCTATATTCCCTCAAATTCATTTATTCTAGATAATCATAACCAAAATTATTTTAATAGAAATACAATTTGAGTACCCCAAAAAGTTTGATATGTGGGGCCTTCTGCAGCCACAACCAAACCTGATGTCGCGTTAAGTTTGTTCCCTTTGGTCATTCGTACAGACCACATCACTCTTTCTCCTCTGCTGACTTCAGAATCCAGGGAACGCGTGTACTCAGATCTGCACATAATGTTGCAATAACTACACGTCTTAAAACTACGTAACAGCAACTCTTCTATTAAATCAAACTGGTTTTTAATATACCACACTGAAAAGTTTATATCGTGACCTTATCTTAACTGACTTAGCGGACCAGTACCAACCACCTCACCCAATGCCTCCTATCAGGTGTAGCACACACTTATCAGTACTCTGGTCCCCTGCTGCCACTCCCACTCAAGTACAAAGACCCTACATCAAGACCTACAGGCCGATTACTGACTCTGCGGTGCGCCTCTTCGGGCAGTGGATAGTTCACCATCCCTGGACTGAAGTACTTAGCGTGGATGACGTGGAAACCAAATGGAAAAATTATACCAACACCACCACGGAAGCTCACCACCACTTCTTCTCCGAGAAGTCCGTCAGATCTCACCCAGCTGACTTGCCCTGGATCACACCTCGGATCAAAAGACTTATGCAACAGAGAGACAGAGCCTTTCATCTCAATGATCACATCCGCTACAGATCCCTTCGCAACCGAGTCATCCGCGAAATACGCACTGCAAAGAAGTCCCACTACCCAACCAAATTACAACACCTGAAGCAGACCAACATCAGTCAATGGTATGGTAAGCTTAAAGAACTCTGTGGATTAAACAATAAGACACACCCCCTCCCCTTCCTTAGCCATCTCACTAATGTTGACGCAGCTGAGCAATCAAATAACCATTTCGCTACTATATGCCAGACGCTCCCCCGGCTTGACACAACCACTCTCCCTGCTTACCTACCAGCCCCCCTTCCCACTGACTTAGTAGAAGAATTTGAAGTAGCAAAACGTCTGGACAAACTAAAATTAAAACGCTCCACCACCCCCATTGACTTACCAGTGAAACTCTTCAAGGAGTTCTCCCCGGAGCTTGCTAAGCCCTTATGCTCCATCATCAATGCTTCTCTCAGTCAAGCCAGATGCCCAGCTGACTGGAAGACCTCTTATGTATCACCAGTGCCCAAGTCAACCAGCCCACAATCCTTAAATCAGCTACGACCTATTGCAATCACCCCAATACCCAGCCTAATCTGTGAAAGTTTTGTGTTCGACTGGGCTTTTGCTGATATTGCAGGAGTCGTAGACCCTCAGCAATTTGGCAATATGAAAACTTCCTCCACCACTCACTGTCTTTTCAGCTTTCTCGATTACATATACCGCCATTTCGAGAAACGAAAAACGACTGTAGCTGTCGCCTTTATTGATTTCACCAAAGCATTCGACCTAGTCGACCACAATATAATCATCAACAAAGCTATTAACCTCGGGCTTCGGAGAAGTCTTATACCATGGCTTACAGACTTCCTCAGTGACCGACGCCAAGCTGTACGCTTCCGAGGGGCTGTCTCCACCTTTCAGTCACTCACCCTGGCGTCCCCCAAGGCACCAAGATGGGACCACTCTGCTTCCTTATGCTTATCAATGATGCCCTAAGAGAAACCCGCTCGCTGGAAATATGTCGACTACTCCACCATTGGGATTAGCGTCAACAATTCTGCTCCCGACTATACCGCCCTTCAGGATTTATTGAACAGTCTCCAAAACTGGGCCACCAACAACCACGTCACCATCAACCATACCAAGACCATGGTTATGCACATCAACCTCTCCTCCGACATTGTCCCACCCCCTTCCATTAATTTAGGTCCGAACACACTCCAGGTTGTAGATTCCACGAAGCTCCTCGGCGTCACCATAGACAACAAACTAAATTGGAAACCACACGTCAGTGAAGTTGTCAAATCCTCCAGTTTCCGTCTCCACCTCCTCCACCGACTCAAGTCCCTCGGAGTTCCTGCACCCGAGCTCCTCAGTGTTTACTCAACATTCATACTTCCCAAGCTCACCTATGCCTCCCCTACATAGTCTTCCTCCCTAAATGGCACACAACGTAAACACCTAGAAAAAAGTGAAAAAGAGGGCATGCAAGATTATTCTCTCCCTTCCTACTCCACATATCAAGAAGCGCTCAACACACTTACCCTTTCGCCTCTCACTGACCATCACCACGACCTCATCTGCAAATTTGGTAAGAAGCTTCTGCACCATCCTCGACACCGGCTCCTACTACCACCTGAGATCCCTAGCCCGAGAATTGCTGTTCGACACCACAACCTCATCCAGCCCATACGTGCACGAACTGATCGCTATAAGAACAGCCCAGTCCCAACCATTGTAAAAATTATCAATAACTTGTAATAAACCAGTGTATTCACTCCCAGTAAATACTACTTCTTGCACTGTCACTATGCTGAAATGCCCTGTAGTTTGAACTTTTCCCCATCTAGTTATTATATATCTTATTTATATCACTTATGTTATTTGTATATTATTTGTAATTCGAAACCCATTCCCCAATTATGAAACTGTATATTTTCAGCCTTCTGGCTGCCAAGCTCTTTCAATAAACCGTTAATTATTATTATTATTATTATTACACCATTGTTAGTGTAACAGTGACTCATATCTATCTTGCAGATGACTTCGCGGTGTGCGGCTCCGGGCGGCGGGTACACAGATTCTACTGGTGTGATGGCTGGGCTGACTGTAATGACAACCACGCAGACGAGCTTAACTGTGAGTATACCTTATCTATACATAGTGTCTACATTTCCTCCTGACTAGCTTAGTCTGCGGTCCAATTTCCGGGTAGTTTACCTGGTAACAGGCATTATTTCGGTTTGTATGCCAACTTAACCACAACAGCATAGTTGGAAAATAATTATGAAGATATCCACAAATCTACCCTGGATGTTTTTTTTTGTTTTATGGTAACAAGTTTAAAAATTGTAAGCCTCAGATATAAACACTTATATTGCTAAGTGAAGGCATATTGCTTTTTGTAACACGCCTCTCACTCCCCTGAGTCAACATATCTGTCGGTAGGTATGAGCCACACAAACATATTTTTCATGTGTAGTACTTTTGTTCTAACATCTTTGAAGCGTTCCCAGTAGCTGAGTCAATTAGTTATAAACGTTCCTGTTCCATTTTTTCTTTAAATTTCGGCAATTTTAAAAGGTTCTTAAAAACAAAGAAATATTACTCCTGGGAGAGGTAGGTGATCGAGCTAAACAATACAAATTACCCACAAAAGTAAATACGATAATACTGATATATTAAAAAAATAATTATACTTAATCAATCACCTCAGCCAGAAAACCAAAACTGTACTGACTCAACCCATAGGCACCATGCCAAGCCCTACTCACACTTGTACACCTACGGCTGCTCATCTAAGCCACCATGAGCCTTTTATATGGTTCTCCTCTCTGTGACGAAAATATTCACCATGCATAGTTGACAAATGACTACAGGACATGACCATACAGTTATTGGGGTAAATTCCACTAGATTGGTAGGATCTCTTACATGCCAACACATCATTCGCAGACAATCCAAGTACCAACACAATATCCTCACACAATACTGATGGCTATACAGTACTACCAACTATACTAGTTGCCAACACAACACGTCCAACTAATGCAGGTACGAACAGAGCACTTCCAATACCCCCCACAATATTGATGAAACATACCGCTCCCACACATTAATATACCAACAGTGCTACACACTTCCTGTGTCATACCACTCCCACATAGTGAAGGTGTTAGCAGTGCTACACAAAGCTTGTTCTAACACAACACAGTGCTACCTGATGTCTGTACCAACACATCATTCTCATGAGTAAATATTGCAAAATTGCCACTCAAGGGTTTCACCAATAAAACAAACCCCGAGAATACTGAGAGTAACACAGTAAATTATTGTTTCCGTTGAACAAATGAGATATTTCCCTATCATTATTATTCACAACCCTGTAAGAGACCGCTATTGCTGTTGCTGCGATTTTTATTTTAGCTGTTTGACCCTTTTTTTTTTTTACAAAATTTTGTGTTGATGACAAAATAGTGGTATAAAGCATTTTTCTAAAAAAAATAAATGAAAATATTTGTTTGTATTGAAATTATCAAATTAGTTTTTACTCTTCCTGTTTTTCTCGCATGCTATGTTTTGAAGTGAAAATTCCTCGCGGGAAGGGCACCCAAGGATCAAAGTTAATTATTATGTTGCCTTCGAAAATATTGAGGTTAAAATTTGAGGAAAATAACCAACATTGAGGCACCTGCTTGAAATCAATCTCGTATAGTAACCAACTGTTAATGCAACTTTCGAAGCAGAATATATATATATATATATATATATATATATATATATATATATATATATATATATATATATATATATATATATATATATATATATATATATATATATATATATATATATATATATATATATTACACCCACCCGTAATCAAAAAAAAAACATCGTAACGGGCACTGACATCACAGAAACAGCTGTGCATATCTTGTCTCTGTGCTACGTCTGCAGTACTTACTGTTTACTGACTAGTCTTCGAGAAGTCAACCTCATTATTGTAATTTCCATCAGGACTCCACACTAACCCATGCGCAGCCGCTTCCATTAATTAGCTTGAGTGTCTGAAGCTAACATGAAGTGTCAAGATTCCACCCAAGAGGTAATCTGACCCTACTTTTGACAACCCTCTAGCAAGGGATCCTGATAAGCTTATAAACTTCCCAATTCCACATAGTCCATTAGTTACTTCCTTTTCCAAAACCTCCCCGGAAAATACGAGCCAAGATCCAAGTTGTGCAATCCTGCTGAGGTAACGAGAAGGCTTTGAAGAGCATATTGGATACAAACCTAGTAACCTCTAACTTCAGAATGACGGAAAACACACATGAAAATAGTCAGCAATTCTGAAAAAAAATGTAAACCATCTTCTTACTTCCATCAAAAATTAAAACCACTTAGACTTCGAATAAGATCTTATAGTCAAGGAATCAAAACTGTCTCAAACTCATCCTAACCAAAAGAAATAAAAGGCTAGAGAGAAGATTGTATTTTTCAACTGGATCATCTGGTCGCTTACAGAGTCTATCTTTAGAGGTCTGGTCCAGTATACAACTTGCTGAACACAACTAACTCAAACACAAATAAGAGAAAATCAAGATGATTAGACGGTCCCTTGTGGATATGGGGTTTCAAGACAACCTGCACTGATAATCATCCTTCACAACAGGTGTGAAAAAAAAACTGTCTCGATTAGGAAGTACCAGGGTTATGAAACAAAAGATCCCAGCTATAGCAGACTGCGAATGTCCTCCCTCCCTACAGCCACGAGGCATATCAATAAAAAGTGAAATTTATCTACGTGTTATTAGTGTGTTCATAATATTCATTAATTCTATTCTTGTATGTAAAAATAATTAATGCTATATATGTAAAAAAAAAAATTACATCAGCGAAAGCAAGATACCTCAACAAGTCTGGGGTGTAAGGCCTGAGACCAGTGTGAGAGTCTTAAACACTGGGAGATGGTGCACATGATATATTCGCTCATAATAAACGATCCAGACCAATATCAACAGACTAACATATCCCCTAAATACTTTATTTAAACTCTGAAATATAACAAAGAAGAACACCTAAATATCCCATCGAAATAAATTAATGCATCCAGACCCGCTAACTCTCTAAAATAGAAATGCCTTACTTCTATTCCACGGCTCACTAGAAAATTCTCTATTCATTTCAGGCATGACCTCGAAATTTAAAAAGACGAAACCGTCAACAGACAAACTGGATTACTCACAGTGAAACTTAATAATACCTTGACAGAGAGCGGGTGGTGCCGCACGGCTTCCAAAGAAACCTAAATTAACACTTTGGATATGATATACATGTAAATTATATTTCACTATTAATGAACAATGAGAACTGTGTGATTTGGCTAAATCCCCTAACAAAAATGTTTAGATACATAGAGGCAACTACGGAGCAGGTGAAATGCGGAGTAAGTGCTGGAAATACCTACACAATGGAAGTCACTCGTGCGTATGGCACTGTTTGTGTGACGTCACTCGTGCGTATGGCACTGTGTGTGGCGTCACTCTTGCGTATGGCACTGTATGACGTCACTCGTGCGTATGACACGCGTCAGTGTGACATCTCCAAATGTGTGATATCAGCGATCGTGGGACGTCACCATGAGTAGTAGCTGATACTAAGCGTTACTGCATACAATTATCGAGCAAGACGGATCACGCTCGTTGTTCTGGCAGTCATGGACATGGAAGGGAATGAGTCAAAAATGAGACACTGTCGCGTCACACCCACCCCGCCAAGGCAGCGTGAGATAAACCTGTCTCCCGAGAAGAGAAGGAACCACCAGACGGAGGGATTGAGGGGCAATTATGTGAGCAATACCAACAGACGCAGCAGATGTTCGATCACATGACAGCGATGATGCAGAACGTCACCGAAGGTATGAATCGACTACAAAGTAAGGGCAGCACAGAACTAGGTGATAGCAAAGCCACCCTCCAAAAGGAGGACCTCAAAAGAATAACTCAGGAACCCATAGCCACTGAGACACCAGCTGATGCAGCACCATGCTTCACAAACGGCTCGGTGGACCAAAACATCATAGAACCGGGGCGGCCTTCTACACCCAAGGTCAGACTCTCCTATGGAGACTTTCTAATGATTGCTCCACCCTACAAACAGAGTTAGTAGCAATCTCAAAGCCCCAAACAAACCACATTCATCACTTTCTCCTTCGCCTTGGAGAAGGATCAGTAGGAGTAAGAAAGAACCGATCCATCATTATCCCCAAGGTCATTGTTGTTGAGAATATACAGTCTTCTCTGAGAGTTTTCGGTCGAAGACACCCAAGACGTCACCATGTGGGAACACCTCCGAGGTACTGCACTACGCCAAGCACCAAAAAGAGTGGATCTCCTGATAGGTCTGGATGTACCACAAGTATTAGTGCCGTTAGAAGTAAGGACCGGGAAGGACAGAGAGCCGTTTGCAACATGCACCCTACTGGGCTGGACTATAAATGGACCGCTCGGATTGGTGAGTCGTGATTATGCCGTGATCAACCACTTTGTCAGAATGGCAACATTAAATTCGGAGGCAAATCTGGAAAAAAAACAAGTCAGGAACTTCTGGGAATGCGACTCCGCCTGCAGTAACGATGATCCCGTCCCTGTCGAAGACAAGAGAGTCCTGATGCAGTGGTCAACGTCAATTACTCAAGTGGACGGAGACTACAAACTTCCCATCCCGTTTCACCATGAAGAACCGGAACTCCCAGACAATAAGAAGCTTACCGAACAGCGATTGGCGGGACTGAGAAAATGCATCCTAAAGAACCCAGGGCTCTCTCAGAAGTATCAAGAAGAGATGTGACGTCTAGTCGACGAGGGACATGCTGAGCGAGTCCCACGTTAAGAACTCAGTGTTGCACCCGGGAAGACCTGGTATCTCCCACACCACCCGGTGTTGTATCCCAACAAGCCAGAAAAGATGAGAATTTGATTGTGCAGCCGAATATGAGTCGATGTCATTAAACAGCCAGGTGATGCAAGGGCCAGACCTTAACAACAATTTGATGGGAGTCCTTATCAGATTCAGACAAGGAAAGGTGGCACTCATGGCTGATATCGAGGCAATGTTCCACTAAGTGCGAGTAGTAC